CCTGCCCTCTTACTTTCTCATCCCTAAATAACTCTACCTTTACTCAACTGTGGCTCACTCTTGAATTCCTTCCTCAGTAAGCCAAGGACACACACTTGGTGGTGCATGTCCCCGGGGCTCAGTCGAGACCTGGGACATGGCCCTCCTCACACGCCACATCAGTTTTTCCTGCCTCAGTAATAGTAATTGCTTGGCTGTTTTATTTCTGTTCCTGGGAAGGTGCCAGAGAGTCCTCTTCAGTTTCATACACAATTGAAATGAAAATGAAATATTAATATTTTAAAACACAAAAAATAAAAAATAAAAAAATAAAACACAATAACATTTCCTTGAGTAATTTTGGCATAGTAATTTTTAAAATTTATTTTTGCTTTCTTTTCACTCATTAATGAAATATCCAATTCCCTTTCTTAATGGAATTCAACACATATTTACTCAATGTTTACAGAGTACAAAACATAGCGGTAGGCAGTTCAAGGATTACAAAGACAGGACAACATTTTAAGTGACAAATTCTAAGGAAGGAAGCTTGAGTTAATAAAGGGATTTATAATTCAAGGAAAATTTTCATAAGTACCTTTAGGGTATAAAATGAAGTTGTAAAAAGTTGTTGCATAGGAAGGAGAAAAAGAGGATAAAAGAAATGGTTGATAGATCTTAACATATTAAAATACTTTATTAAAATCACCTTGAAAGGAAAATACTATTGAAGTTTGAAAACTTCAAATTTGAAGGGCAATTCGGAGAAATTATGTTGCTTCTATTACATAAAACCACCAAATTAAAAAGCCCTTCAAAATATAATTAGTACTAGAAATTTAACAATTTCTGATACATAACCCACTGAGGTTAACTCCAGCCAAAAAATGATGTCCCATAAAAAATATAAAAGGAAACAGTAAAAATATTATAAAATATTATTTTTAAATAAAGCACATCATAAAATTCAGTTAACATATAATTAATCTTTCCAAAAAAGCAACTGAATAACTCAATGTTTTTTCTGATTCCTCCGTAATTTTATACACTGTACAGTAACTCAACACATAGTAAATATGTATGTCAGTGCCCATATACTATTATCCTAAAACACCTAGTCATTCAATCTACACGTTTGTTGAGTATCAACGATCTGAGAGGCACTATGCTAGGAACCTAACACACAAACTCGGCTGAAACTGGGCACTTGACTTCATGTAGCCTTAGTGCGGAGACAGGCTAAAGAATTAAAACAGAGTATGGTCCCTACCGTGATAAAGGTATGCACAAGGGGGTAGTCAGAGCACAGAAAAGGGGCATCTGGATCAGACTGGAGAGCAGGGGTGGAAATCAGGGGATACTCTGGAGAAGGTGCCTCTCAAACAGAGACCTAAAGGGTAAATGGCATTGAGTACTTAGGCAACAGGGAAAAGGCAGAGACCCCCAAGGGCACGAATGGAAGAAAGAAGGCTGAGTGCAGCCCTGGATGGGTTCAGTGAGGGTGCTTATCCCTATTTGTGCTGACCAGTGGTTTTCTGCCCACTTTTTTGCATTTCTTCCCTGTCATTATTTTTTCAAATACTGATTTTTTTTTATTTGGTATAATCAAGCACAATCCAAAACTATTTAATTTTTGTCCCTGAGACTTGTGTTATTTCTGCTTCTGTTAGCATGTCGAAGAAAAGTCCTTTCTGCTGTATCAAATTCTGTGGTGTTTCAAATTCTGTAATCCTCCCAGAGTCTAGAACAAGCACCCTGCAACGTGAAAAAAATCCAGTCAGGTAACGTATAACCAGTGTTTCAGTTCTCCCTTCTTGTTGTTACAACTGTAAAGTTTAAATGTCTGTGTGAGTTGTGTCAGTACAAAATAAAGGTACTATTTGACTCAGGAAATATATCAAGTTTCCCAATATTCTTCTTGACATTCACGTACTCCTCTAATTATTCTGGAAAATATCTTCCATACGCTTAAGGGACATTTTGTATCTCAGCACAGTTAAAGTTGTTTATTAGTAGCAGCAAGTAATTAACGTGTTTTGTATGTTCAATAGTTACCTCCGTAGAAAAAGTAAAGCCCACCTGTCTGAATCCACGACAGAATGCAGTCTGTGGGCGATCGTCAGGATGGTGCAGTCGGAAAACTCCTTCCTGATTGTGGCCTGCACCAAGTTGTCAGTCTCAAAATCGATGGAGGCTGTTGCCTCATCCAAGATGAGAATTTTTGTTTTTCTCAGCAATGCACGAGCAAGACAGATGAGCTGTCGTTGTCCAACGCTGTTTAAACAAGACAGCAAAATGACTTCAATGGTGGCCTCTAATGCTCACACACTTCCTGTTCTAAAATTCTGCTGATAATTGTTGTCCTCTTCCTAACTCATTCATTCATTCTTTTCTTTAAGAAGTATTCACTGAGTGATTATTATATGTCAGACTCCAGTCCAAGTTCTGAAAATAGAGCAGTGAATTAAATAGACAAAAGTTTACGTCTGTGTGGAGTTTACATGGTAAAACAAAAAATAAACAAGATAAATGAGCAAAATGCCTAGTAATGAGAAGAATTCAAACATACAGAAAGAGGATGTGTGAAGTGTACGTGTGGGGTGTATATATTAGATGGGCGAGCCAAAAAAATCCTCCCCCTATTCCCTGAAAGATTTGGGGAAGGATGAAACAAGAGTGGAGATTGAAACTGAGTTCCTCTGCCAAGTTTATGATTAACCTCTCTATCCAAAACACTGTTCCTCTTCTTGTCTAACACCTGTTCTCCTCAAGGTTGAGGAGAATCAAAGAAAAGGGGGGAACTGTAGCCAAGCAGGACCCTGTGGGCCTTTCCCGGGACAGATCCCTTCCCTGTATCCTCTGCTGTAGCTCCTCTCTGAGGTACCCAGATGATAGTATGTCATGCATATTTCCTGAGTTTTTCAGATGCTAAAAACCACCACCAAATAGAAGAAATTAACTACTTTATGATCATGAGCATATAGCCTGCCCCCCAACCCGACCTAGTGCCTAAGGGTTGATTACCATCCACCAGTTAGAATTGTGCACAGCTGATCACAGACCCTAGGACCTCCCCTCCCCTCCCCAACCCACATCAGCTGGCCTTTGAAAATGCTTAGGTGAAAACCTTCGGGGAGTTTGGGAGGTTTGGGGGCACTGGGAAGATGCTTTTTAATTCAAGATCTGAAGGAAGTGGAGAGTAAGTCTTGCAGATTTCCGATGGGAACTTGTTCCTGGCAAAGTGAATCGCAGATGTGAAACTCCTGAGGCAGACAGGAAATGGCCTGGCATTTTAATGAATCAGCACGGAGGCCAAAGCGGTGGAAACAGAAAGGGACGGGGAGAGTAGCCAAGAGAAGGCTAAGCCATGCAGTGCAGGCTTGAGAGGGTCCAACTGACTTTCCTTAGGTCTCTGATCACATAAAGGAACTGTCCTAAGACATCAAACAGCCATGAAGAAAAAGCAGCCCCTTACAACATTTTTTAGGAAGAAAGCTATTAGAATAGGAGACTTTACAAAAGAAGATTCAATCAAATAGTGACTTTTCGTACTGCATTGTTCGTTTTTTTCCCCTTTGTTTCTCAACCAGCAGCTTCCCAGCGAGTGGCTACCATTTTATTTATTCCTTGTCTCTTCCCTAGAGGTAATCAGCAGTGATGTGCTTTGAACAGACCAAACAAAATCCATGCTGGCTCAGGAGTGACTTCCCTTTGAGGCCAACTCGTCTGTAAAAAGCTGAGCACAAATGACCTGGGCAAGCTCTGCTCTTAGCATCTTACCTGAGGTTTTCACCGCCCTCTGAAATCTCATGCAGCAGCTTCCTGGGAAGGGACTGCACAAATTCTTTTAAGTGACACAGTTCCAGCACCTCCCACAGCTGGCCATCAGAATACTTGTCTAGGGGGTCTAGGTTCATCTGAAGGGTTCCAGAAAATAAAACAGGATCCTAAAGAATAAAATAATTACCAGTAATCTTACTGTCACAGGAGGCATGCATATGCTAAATAAGGAAAAAAACGAAATAGTTGTCAAATTCATTTTATATTGAAACCTAAAGCAGCAGAGAATCAGAGTAAGCTGCAAGTTAGGGTAAATCGTTATAAGCTTCCTGATTCCTCCTCCTCCTCTTATTGATCATGTCCACAACAACCGTAATAATAATGATGATGATGGCTGTCATTTAGTCAGGGATACACCATAACAGAGAAAAGAACTGAATAAATGCAATCTGTACTATGTATGTAATACAATCAATCAGTACACCAACCCAGAAAGATGGAAGTCAATATCCTCATTTGACAGTGAACTGGAGGTTTCAAAAGCTCTCGTCCAGGGACATACAGAAGGTAAGTGCCCAAGCCCAGTTCAAAGAGGACAAGCCCATGCTCTTTCTGACACACCAACGTGCCTAGTGAACCTGTATTTTACTACACCTGTATTGATTTATAAGAAAGAAATGTCTATTTCTTCTTTCCACTAAATTTTTCCCTGCCAGAACTTTAGATTTTACTCAGATTTGTTTTGATGTGAATTTCACGAATGCAAGTATATATGTAAACAACATGACAAAGAGATGATATAATTTTGTTATTTTTAGAAAGTAATATAAAATATTTCATAAATGCTCAGCTGAAATCTCTCAAACTCAATTGAATATAAGTCATTTTTGACCTTAGAGGCATATTATTGAGACAATTTGCGTACTTATTAATGTTCAAGTTTCTTTGATGCCATGGATGGAAAAATCAAAGAATCTGAGAAAAAAAGATCTAACTGAATTACTGTTCTTTTTATTTTTTTTAATGTTTCTAAACTTCAAGTCAGAAGAGTCAAAACCCTACATTTAAATTACCAACTAAGCAACAGCCTCAATAATTGTTTTTTCTTCCAAAAAATACCAACACATTTCAGTCTGATCTTTTCATTCAAATTTTATTTATATTTACCATTATGAAGGAAACTTGCAAAACAATGTACCAGTTTTTTAAATAGATCAATGCACTTAGGAAGAACACTTTAGAGTAAGACTGTTTAACAGGATTCAATTAAATAGTGATTTTTCACAATACATTTAAAATAATTTGGCTCCCCAAAATGAATGTACATGCTTGAAAGGAATATACTCTTAAAAAAAAAAAAAGAAGATGCTTACCTTGAGGGAATTAAGAAAGACCAACAGCAAAACAGTTTTACCTGTGGAATAATATTAAGTTTGCCACGAAGGTCATGAAGCCCAATAGAAGATATATCAATTCCATCAATAATAATTTTGCCTCCTGATCCTTCCACAGTTCTAAATAGGCAATTGGATAGTGTTGATTTGCCGGCTCCAGTTCGTCCCACAATTCCAATCTATAATGAAATTATCATAAGCAGTTTACACTGTACTTTTTTTGTATATATATATATATATATATATATATATATATTTACTGAGGTATAGTCAGTTTACAATGTATCAATTTCTGGTGTACAGCATAATGCTTCAGTCATACATGAACACACATATATTTGTTTTTCTGTTCTTTTTCACCATAAGTTACTACAAGACGTACTTTGTGTAAGGGAAGGGGACCTTTATACTGACAACAACTTTATTACGTGTCAGGTCAGTGGACTCTAATTTTGCCAACCAGAATAACATTGATTGTCACGGAGGATTTATGTGACTTTCAAGCATCAGTCTTTATCCAGATAATCTTTACTGGAAATGCTTGGACTAACATGTGTGCTTCTCTAGTTTTGAGCAATTTAGTTACCACCTACTAGAGCACATCAGCAGCCCCAGGAAGAGCAGATCATCCCTGAACCATCCCTGAACTAGCCATTAAGGGTGTGGTTCAAAGGAAGATTGATAATGGGGTTGTTTTCCTGGGATTTTCAAAATGAGGCTTCTCCGGCATCCCTCCCTCAAAATAAACAAGCAAACAAGCCAACAGGACTGGCACCCTCTGCTCAGATAGACTAGAAAATCTAAAGGAAAGCCTGCAGATTTCCTTGGTGTATCAAAACATCTACTGCATTGAAACTATTAAGGGTGGTCACAGATAACGTCTGAGGATTTTGGATTCTTGGGCAAAATGACCAGCTTGTCAGAAACATCCAGTGATTGCGCATGTTCCTTTGGCCACGAGAACCAAAGCAATCTCTTCTGGGTGCTGATCGTCTCAGAGTTAATAGGAACGTTAGGCAGAGAGAACATTGTGGAGGTTGGTTTGCCCTTAGAAAAGGTCTTAAATCTTACATCTGAATGCTACATCAGCAAAACCAGGAATACGTTGAATTAACTGGAATAATCCAAATTCCACAATTATTTCATTTGTTCCAAAAATATTTCTGTCCCTGATATCACTGCAGTGGACCTGGTTTAAAAGGTTAGAAAAAGAGTTGTTTGAGGTTATGAAAGACATGTCTCTGAAAGAGGAAAAGTGGGATATTGCTGTTAATTTTTTTTAACTTTTACTTGTATGTGAAATATGAATCTGATTAGGAAAATAATACGTTTTCATAAAACATTTTGAAAAATGTGAGAAAAAATATAGAAGTAAAAATCATCTAAAACCCCATCACCCAGAGAGAATCACTGTTTATGTCTTATAATTAACTGTTCTTCTAGGATTTTTGTTAATGTGTATATCTGCTTGCTTTTTTTAAAACAAAAATGATATACTACCAATAGTTTTGTATACAGTTTCTATTAACTAAATTACATCTCAAGCATTTTCCCACTTCACGGTCTTGGAACACATGGTGTCACTGACTGTATAGATATTCTCTGCTATGTATTTACTGTATGTAGGTAATTATTATCTTATTATCTTATTATCGAACTTCACTTACTAGAGGAAGTAAAAATAAAGTATGCTAATACTAGGCATAGAGCCAAAGGAAATGAAATTAGATTATGAAGAGAAATCTCCACTCCCAAGTTCACTGCAACATTATTCACAGTAGCCAAGATATGGAAAAAATCTATGTATCTGTCTGCCATGGATGAATGGAAAAACTATATCTATTTGTACACATACATATATTATTCTGTCATAAAACTGAAGAAAGTCCTGCCATTTGTGGTAACAGAGTTGAAACTGGAGGACATTATGCTAAGTAAAGCAAGCCAGACAGAGAAAAATATTGTATGTATCTCTCTTATATGTGGAATCTAAAAACATCAAATTCATAGTACCAGAGAGTAGATGGTGGTTACGAGGGGCTGAGGGGTGGGGAAAAAGGGAAGATGTTGGTCAAAGTGTACAAACTTTCAGTTATCAGATGGAGAAATTCTAGGGATCTAATGGTGACTATAGTTAATAATGCTGAAATTTGCTAAGAGAACAGATCTTAAGTGTTCTTAAGGTTATGGTAATCATTTCACAATATGTATATATATAAAACTATCACACTGTATACCCTAAATATATATAATTTAATTTATTAATTACACCTCCATAAAGCTAAAAATCTAGTAAAATCCTGTTTCACAATAAATCATTTCACAACTTAAAATATATCTATATTTTATTTATGGAGGAAAAACTTATTCTGTGTACACCAACCCTACTTTATTACTTTTATATTAAATTTGAACAAATAACCATCTTATATTCAATACTATGGTATACTTTGGTCTTAACAATGAATATATTCAGATAAAAGGGGAAAGTGAAACTTATGAAATACATTCGGTACCTTTTCTTCCCCATGAGTCTGAAAAGTGATATCCTGTAATGCTAAGCCAAGATCATCTCGGTATCGAGCCTGATAATGAATAAACTCCACTATCCCTTTATTAGGCCATTGTGATGGAGGCCTTTTAGACATTATCCAGGGTGCCTTAAAACAAAGAAATATTTTTTAAACTATGATTACAATGAATTACCTCCCCCCCAAAATTATCATGCATATAAAAAAACACTGATGAAAAATGTTGAAGGACAACATTTATAGGTATTATGATTTTTCTGAAAATAGTTTTAAATAACCCCAACATAAAATTTCTCATCTAGTTAAAAGAAAATTTTAGAAATAATTTTTTAGAGGTAAAAAGGCCTCCCACCTTCCATTAAGTTATTAAGAAAAATCTTCTAAAACCCTATAAAGGAGATGAAGGTAACCTGAAATTTCAGCTGAGGTGAGGATAGTTTGTCATTTATTCATTTCCCAAATACCTAGTGTTGACTGTGCCAGTCAATGCTTTAGTTGCTGGAGATTTAGCAGTGAGAAAAACAGGTAATAATTCTTGTCCTCTTGGAGCGTACATGCTGGTGGGAAGAGACAGAAAGAGCGACATAGCCTATGTCGAATTTTAGCTGGACAAAGCTTTGGAAGACAGGAAACAGGCAGGGTTTGTGTAATTTAAAGTAAGATGGTTAGGAAAGGCCTGGCTGGACACAGTGAGGAAACAAGCCATGTGGATATCAGAGGCACAGCTATCCAGGTGAAGGTGAAGGAAGCTAACTACACTTGCTTAGGACCTGAGACAGGGGCACGAATGGAACACTGGAGGAATAGCAGGAGGTAGAAGAACACGCAGAAGACTATGGTGCCCAGTCAGGGAGATGAGGTGTTTTCATGGATCGCAAGTGTCAAATGATAGGCCAGGTACGGTGAAGACTGAGGGGCACCACAGTCACTGATCTTGACCAGGGCAGGTTCAGTGAAGCGGTGGGATTTAAAGCTTGTTTCAAGAGGGTCCAAAAAAGAATGAGAGAAGGGGAATTAGAAAGAGTATGTACAAGCAACTATTTCAAGGAATTCTGCTGTAAAGAAGAGAAGAGAAATAGGGCTCTAGAGGAATAAATAGGATTATCTGACAAATTCACTTTTTTTTTCCACATCAAGAGTTTTGCAACAGTATCTGTCAGGAGTTGCATCAAATTACATAAAGGTGATTTTTTTAAAAATGTGTGTGTGTTTGTGTGTGCACACACATATTTTATTGTCTTTTTCCAAAATGAAAAAAAAATATTAATAGCAAAAGATTAAGAAAATACAGAAAACAATAAAATTCTTATATTAGTCATCACATGGCAATAGGCTGAGCACACTGAATATTGGTAACTGTGACCATGATTGTGAAGGCAGACTTATCTTTCCAGAAAGCTGTATGAAAAAGGAAAGTTAGATCTAGGGAAGAATACAGAGGACGTTTCAAAGTTTAGGTAGGACTTGGCGTATGCAGCAAATATTTGAGCATATTTATAGGCTGACAGGAGCAAGGGGGTTGGGGTGCTGAAACATAGGAATTAAAGAACGTGGTTAATGGAGCAAGGTCTCAGAAAAGACATGAAGAGATGTTACCAAAAATACAGCTGGAAACTTGAAGTTTTTTCTTTGGAGGAGGAACCCTTCTTCCTCAGAGTTATGAGCAAAAGAGGGAAGTTTCATGAAGATACTTTTATAGGTGGATTAAAGAAGATACAGAAATTCAACGTATACCCTTTATCATCTGCCCTGTTAATTCATGGGACTGGTAGGCAGAAGTAACCTAGACTGGTAAAATATGTAGATAATGCAAATATTATACTCTGTCAATAGTCTAATTCTTCTCCCTCCCAAATTATGGTTAATTAAGGCAACAAAGCTGACAGATTTAATCTCCTCCTCCTTCTCATCCACAGAGATGCTAATGATGAGTAAATGGAACAGAAGATAAAAAGACGTAGTTAATTTTAAAACTGTAGTCTCTACATAATTATGAGATGACTATATCAAGACACTTTTCTCAATGTAAAATCTTCACAAAGTTATAAACTCTAGGTTGCATATTTTATTCTACATTGGCAGGGAGCAAATCATTGTGCCTCTTAAAAACAGGTGATCATATTTCATTTTTATAACAATACTGAAATTGGATGTATCTTACAATTTTGGACTATTTTAATTTAATTAGTGCTTTTTCTTATTTTGGTGATTATATAAAATAATGGTGTATTAAAAATAGATTGGGTTTTAATTTTGTTGAAATGCTGAATATTACAATACAAATTTGGAAATGCAGGTATTGTTTAAAATTTATTTTTAAAATGTCAATTCAAGGTGCACTAATTACAGTACCTTAATTCTGCATCTGTTTATTGGTTATTTAGAATGCTTACCTCTTTATCCATATTTTCATATTCACAAACTCTTTCAATGGAAACTGCATTGGTTTCAATTTCACATGCTTTCCTTACCCAAAAATTCAGAGACTGAGTAATCTGCGGGTGAAAAACCAAGAACTTAAGGAATGAGTATTAGTCTTTTACATAATATTAGTAACAGTTTATAAAGCTTCATTTTTCAGAGTTTTTATATATTTTATCTCTTTGAAGTATTGAACAACTTTAGAAGTAAGCATACTTATATGTATACACACATATGTATTTAAGTTTGTTAAATTCATTAATATCATAAACAATGTTTATTTGGCAGAAGATGGAAACAACATAGTTCAACATATATTAAAGTCCACACTTGGTGTAAGGAATGATGAATACCAAGATAGGTGGGATATGCCTCAAGAAATGTACATCCTAAATGAGAAGAAAATTGTGCACAATGTTATCTTTAGCATTCTTTACACCTTCCATTAGAAGGTGGATTCTTCTAATTTTCTGACTACTCCTGTCCCCTTTTTTTTCAAACTATATATATATATATATATCCTTTCTAGAAGCCTAAGTTCTGAATTCTGAAATGCAACGGACCTCAAAGGTATTAGATAAAGGAATAAGGGCATGTACTCGAATCATCTAGATCCATCTTTTCAATAATGTGGAATTACATTACAGTTTAAGAAATTTTCTATTTTACGAAGAGGGCCTGAACACCGTCATGCCACTTGTGCTTTGCAGTATAATATAAAACAAGGCTTATTCAGGGAAAAAATTAGAATCAGAGAAGTAGAGCATATATTCTCTCCAGAACTTGCGTTATCTCTTTGCTTAGTTTCGGCAAACTCGATGGACGGGCCAAGATACAGAGGGGCCCTACCCCTTTTACACTTTATGAATCAATAAGGACAAAGGAGCAGGAAACTTCTGGGTAATGATGCAACCGCAGGAGTTTCCTGGTCCTCTAGCACTGAGCCCTGGGTATCAGCCTGTTCTTTCTGTGAGCTAACCTGGTAACGCTGAGTCAGCTCTTTTGCTAGAAGCAAAAGAGAGAAAGAAATGAGCCTCCAGGGTAATTCAGACTTGTCTCTCAGTACTTAGTTAATACAGCCTATAATTCAGACAGGCAAGGGAGAAGAGAGTTTAATTAACTGGGTTATAAACATATCATATACCACACAATCATTATTACTCACATTTAGGGCATAGGATATGGACAGACCAACTACTGCTGAATCAATGGAATTGCCAGCCAGCACAGCAAGCAGTGCAGCGAAGAACACCAGCAAGTTGCCAAGAAATTCAAGTCTAACAGACAGCCACCTAGAATAATGGAATATACCCCCGAACTGAGACACAAACGTTTTGATGCACTTAGTATGAACTTTCTTTTGGAAAATTAAGGAGTAAAATCAATAGCTACTTTCTCTTTTTCTCACTTAGAACTCAATCAAACACAGGATTGTTGCAATGATGATAGAGTAAAGGATTTCTCTGCATAAAAATACACTTTACCTTTTTTTGTAGAACTTTGTTTTAAAATTTAATCAACTTAAAAATCAAAAGAAAGAAATACCAGCTAAAATGATGCATTTATTTTAACATCCCATTGGAAAATCAATTACCTTTCTGATTACACACATTTTTTATATGATAAAGTTAGTCTCTAAAAGTTAAAATGTGCCCAATGACTATTTAATATTTTATTTTCTTCTGTATGTGAAATGTATAACCTCAAATTCAAAATGTTATGTTATTTTATGCAAATAACATACATTCTACAAATATAAAGTACAGCAGAGACTTGTATCTTTGAAATCCTAATAGCATCCTATATAGCCTTCAAAATGTTGCTCCTTATTCTCACATAAAGTAGCATGTACTTTTCATATGGATATAAATAGGTATACTTTAACTTAAAGGTACATTAAATACTAGAAATCCCTAAGGCTTTAGTTTCTTTGTTTTGAAGAGTGTCATTACAAAACATTCTTCCAGTTTAGAAGTCAGTGAACAAGATACCCAAGAAGAGACTAGTCCTGAACTAGGTACATGGATATGACTTACCTGTTTGAAATCACATTATTGTAGAAACAGACCAAATTCTCATTCACCACCTCTTTGTTTTGCTGGATGAACCTCTGTTCATGTCCAAATGCCCTGATGGTGGGCACCCCCGAAAGAGTCTCGCTAAAGTGGGAAATGACAGGAGAGCGTGATGCCCCTGCCAACCGCCGAATCTGCCGAGAGCTCGCCACGTAGTATCTCTATTGGGAAGACGGAAAAGTGTAGCCAAAATTGGAGAGATGTAGCCAAAATTACTTCAGTCGTTTGAAAACGGCAAGACACTTGTGTATTGGGTTAAAGAGTGGCCCCCAAAAGTTAAGTTCAAGGTCTAACCTCCAGGACCTGTGAATGTGACCTTATTTGGAAATAGGATCTTTGCAAATGTCATTAAGGATCTCCAGATGAGACTACCCTGGATTTAGGGTGGGCCCTGAACCCAATCTGAGTGTCCTTATAAAAGACAGAAGAGGAGACAACACAGACACAGGGAGAAAGCCCTGGAAAGACGAGACTGGACTGATGTATATCCAAGGCAAGGAAAATATCAGGGGTCTCTGATGACCACCAGAGACTAGGAGAGAAACATGCAACAGACTCTCCCTCAGAACCTCCAGAAGGAAACAACCCTGCCTCCTTCTGGAATTTGGACTTTTGGCCTCCAGAACTGTTTAGAGAATAAAATTTCTATTGTTTTAAGCCACCAAATTTGTTACGGGAGCCCCAAGAAATGAATGTACCTTTGTAACAAGTAAAAAGCCCCAATTCTGGACAGCACAACTAGAACAAAACTGGGCAAAATTTCACTTGAATAATGCTCTCAAACAACCGCTATTGACCTACTGTGGGAAAAACTCTACATCATATGTAGAAAGCGTGGCCAGGCAGTTAACACATTAAATGAAGGAGGCTGACCAAAGGTACAAACAATAATATTTTTGTACCTAAATATAATTATGGAAAACAATTTTCTTTCTTTATTTTTTTCTCTACCAAAAAAAAAAAATCAATATAGCCACAATTATAATTGGCTACTTCCCCTGTGACTTGGGCCAAAGACAATTGGGATGGGTGGAGGCTGTGGAGAGCAGGAGGCAGTGTGCCCTGAGTTAACTGGACCATCATTCACCAGCCCCAGATCATTGCTACAAACTGGAAATGAAAATCAAGAGTTGCCACATGTTGCATTTTTTTTCAGGAAAATCTTTGGATCTGGAATTTTACGTAAAATCCCTGATGTGAAAATGTCTTCATTTTGGTAAAAACACTGAGCAAGCTAAGAAAAACATGCCTGAAGCTACACGTGGGCTGTCAGCTTGCAGTTCACAAGCTCTGCTCTGTGCTAAGTGATCTGGAGAAAACAGAGGATTGTGCATCCTGAGCCTGCGAGGAGACTTAAGAGATCATCATAAGGGAAGTTTCATAAAAGTTCAGTGAACTGTAGAGACTCCGGAGTCCTTCCATGAAACTGTCCAGAGCACTGAGTTTAAGAACCTTTGATTTAGATCATTGCTTCTCATATTTTAGTAAAAATCACCAGGAGGATTTTAAAAACACAAGACTTCTGGGCCCCACCCTGAGAGAGTCTTTATTTCCCTCCAGCTTTATTAGGAAATGATTAACAAACAAAAATTATACATATTTTGGTTATAAAATATGATTTTTTAAAAGAGGTACAATCAGAGATTCTGATTCAATAGGCCTGGGGTGCAACCCATGGGTCCCGGGGACCATACTCTGAGCAGCACTGATCTAAAGCAAACCTCTTATTTTACAGGGGGAAGAAAGCCTGGAAAGGGAAGTGATACGCCAAACACAGGAGTCAGGAAAGTGACTAGAATTGAAGGCTCCTGAATCTACACCCAGGACTCACCCTATAAAGGTTCCCCTAACAAACCATGGTTTCTAGGCTCTTTTCCAAGTTTAATCACCCTGTTGCAGTGTACCAACCACAAGACTATCATTTGTGACATGAGTTTAGTTTTGGTTATGTTTTGTGTTTAGGCAGATACAACTGACCCCCAACATCATCCCTCAATTTCTTGATTTTTTTAAACTATAAGACATAGTGTCTGCCCCAGAGGACTTACAGTTTCATTGTGGAGACAACTTTTGATCTACCAAAAAAATTCCAAAAAACAAAACAAAACAACAATAACAAAAACAACCTATAATACTAGCAGTATAATAAATCCGTAACACTTAGATAAGTCCTACCCCTTTGCACTATTTCGGTAGGATGCTTCACACAGAAAATGGAATATGACACAGGCCACGAAGGGTAAGTGAGATCCAGACAGGCAGAGAGAGCAGGGGCAACACAGGAAGTAGGAGGAGTCATGGTATTGTCGGTGTAGAAGTGAGCAGATGATTAATGTTCTGGTTTGGGCCAATTAAACGCCAATATGAATTTTTAAACTTAGGTTTTGAGAAAATATTAACTACAAGAACTGCATCCTTTTGTGTAAAGAGCCTCAAAATACTTTTATATTTAATTTAGGTGTGTGTCAAGAAATTTCATTTTTATACTGTAGCCTCACAGTGACATAACTTTGAAATTCAAATTGGTTGACCACATTTTAATTGGAATATCAAGAAAATATAAAGAATAATAAACATGAGAGATCTGTTTGGTTTTTCCGGTAGTAGTTTGGGTAACAGGGCAAAGAGGCAATGTCTGTTTCTCTCTTGAATATGTAGGCAAATTAATTTTCTGTCAAAATGTAAACAACATCTGAATTTAGTGGTGGCCATAAAAATGTACAACTCAGTTCTCCTGCTGTAGGGAGCAGAGCTGAGAACCCAGATGCTGCCTCTCTAAATGCACTATGATATTAGTATGGAGGACATTTTTCCTACAGGTTCTCCCAGTAAATGACAGCATGGCAGGGATGCTCAACAGGCCCACTGAGAGGACACATGGAGACATCCAATGGGCAGTGTTGGCTGTGGACTTGCCATTCATACAACCAAACCTTTTTTGAAAATATTCTGTAGTCCAGCACTTTTCCTACCCGATCCTCTTCTTTCTCCTTCTCCCTTACAGGGAGCAGACCTGCATCACTGTCAGGCTCACCCAGCCTTCTGCCACTCCCTCTCCTTTGTCTTGGATGGGCATTTCCCCAACAATTCTCTAGTACTCCTAATCCTTTCCTGATGTCTGCTCCTTGGAGAACCTGGACTAACAGGCAGTTTAAGTGGGTCTAAGACTACATTTGACTGTGAACTTGCAAGTAATTAACACATATAAAAATCCATGCACTTACTTGTATAGTGAAATAGAGGAAAACCAAGGGAATAACCGCCAGAATGAAGAGTGGCAAAGCTCCCACAATGACCAAAATTGTTCCGACGACATCCAATGTACAATTCACCCAGGTCCGTAAGTAGTAATGGAAACGTATATCAATTATAAACATGTCCTAAAAAATATGATATCAGGTCACTTTATTTTTAACTTTTCATGGTTTAAAATGACGGGAAGAAGACATATATCATTCAATGTAAAAATTTAAAAAAAAACATTAACCCAGATGTGACAATCTGATTATTAAATGCCTAACTATATGACTTTTGCCCTTCCCAACCTACTCCCACATATATCCCCACTGTGGTCAGCTATAACAATTAAGAGGGTGTTCTAGTAACAAGATATCTATGATCAAGTAATTTGTATTTCCCAGTGACAACTACATGGTATTTAATTTATATGACTGAAGTTAGACTCTAGTTAAAACACAAAAAGTATTCAAACCCCAGTAGTTGTGTGTTCAGTGGGTACTGGCCTACCATTATTCACTGCCTAAAAATTGTAAAATACTCCTGGGCCATTCCTATCTACTGATAATATGTTCAGTGACCTTCTTGGATAGCTGGATCCTGACAACATTAGAAGAAACAAGAAAATAAAATAATCTTCATTTACAAAATAAGGATTTGAAAGATGAAGGCGGACAATGGGAATGAGAGAAGGTCATGCATCAATTCACATGTGACTTAATCAAAGTTATGTTTGTGGTTTAAGACATGACCTAAGAGATCCCAGGGAACAGAAAGATGTCTAAACTTGAAGGGATGGATTACTCAGTTCAGGACAAAACTGACATAAAGAATGGAGATGGAATTTTATTAATTCTCAGTCTTGCTTTGAGACTTCCCTGATTATCTTATATCTAATAGTATAAGACCATTATATTCATATAACTTTCTGCCTGTCTTTAAAATATATCTTCCAATATTCTCATCTGTTCAAGACCCAATCATTTGTCATGTTATTGTATAAAAATGAGAGTTGTTTGGTAAGGTCACAGAGAAATGTCCTGGGAGAGAAAGAACACTGGTGATCAAGCTCTTCTATAAATTTTCAAGGAACAATGCAACATTGGTATGATTAGGCAAGATTTAATACTTCATCAAGCATATTTTATGCTTGGTACTTTCATTAATATTTTCATGTCTTATTTTCATTTTCCACATTCCACACCACATTTTTTCATAAATACATAAATATATTGCTATATTTTAAGGTTATGGTTATGTAATGTCTAATACAGGAAACATTAGCAATATGTAATTATTGAGCACTTAAAATATGGTTACTGCAAATTGAGATATAATGAAAGTATATAATAGAAACCAAATTTTGAAGACTTTGTAGAAAAAAGTAAAAAATTTAGTTAATAACTTTACATTGATTACAATTTAAAATAATGCTACAGACATTCTTCATTAAATAAAATATTTTACTATAATTGATAATTTCAACTGTATCTTTTTACTTTTTTATTGTGGTTACTAGAAAATTTAAAATGACCTATGTGGCTTGTGTTATATTTCTGTTGGACAGTGCAATTATAAGTACTTAATAGTAAATACATGGGGAAACCCTACAGATAAACAGATACTCTGGGAGCCTCCAGCCATTCCCCATTCACCATAGGTGAGTTGACAGCTTTCTTCAAGGCAGAATGCTTAAAACCCAGGCATCTCCATATAGACTTATATTTTCTTTCCCTTCTCAGCCTAAACCACTGATTCTCAAACTAAATGTGTGTAAGAATTGGAGTTGTAGACACCAAAGCACATCCACTTCTTGGATTCTTTCAGCAAATTTCAAGGGTTATTTCAATTATGTGTGTCAGATGTGACTCTGTTATACATACATAAATGTCCTGAGAGTAAGAAATAAAATAACAATGAAATCTATACTAAATCTAATCCCATCTTCTTAGAATATTTTTTTTACAAATGAGATTATAAGGTACTAAACATGGATCATCATTTTTAGGCACGCTATTTAAGAAGGTATGGCTTTACTTACCTTGGTGAACCGACTGATGATCTGGCCTATGGGATTGGTTTCAAAAAACTGGAGCGGGAGATGCAGCACATTATCCAACAGCTGAGCATGCAAAGTTCGAGAGGCAGCCAAGGATCCCCTGGTCAGTGCATAGGCTCCAGAGCAAACAAAGAGACCTAAACAGAAATTGTTATCAGGGACATAGTAACATCTTAAAGCAACTTTATATTCTATCTCTCAAAAGATTGCTTACAATAGCATCTATTTTTTAATGGAAAACTCAAATATCAAACTTAAAATGTGTAATTGAGGACTAAAATAAGTATAAATATAGATGTTGAACTGAAAATAAATACAGACACTCTGATGGGTTATCCAAGCGGGGGTCTCCTTACTCATGAGCACAGGTTCTAGAGAAATGCATAAAAGAGAAGAGATCAACCAGGTTGACAGAATTTTAGCAACCTATTAATTTTATGATGTCCTGAGGGACAACGTGGTGGTTGCTGGTGCTGCTAACCAAACAATTTGTTTTCCTGGCTTCTAGGTCCACGGTAGAGTTGCACTTTCTGGCCTCTGTGTGACTGATGGGACCAAATGAATAGTTCTGAACAAGCATTGAGGAAGAAACAGAACATAACACTTTCAAGCGACATACAGCTTTTAGCTGTCGATGTCAGACTTGCTAAAGCTCCTATTCCCTTTGCACAGTGCCTGCCAACATTTAAGATGGTGGTTGGAGTGATTCTTCAACCTGAGCCTCTAGAATCAGAAGAGACCCTTTCCTGATCTACAATGGACAGGTGATATGAGTAAAGAATATATTTTTTTTTTTGGCCTGCTTAGCTGCTGAGATTCATTCTTGGTAGGAGCATTGTTCTTGAAAAAACTAAAAGTCAAAATATAAATAATAAACATGTAGCTTTACTGGAAGAGGTTGAAAAACAGTTCTTAGTATCTACTGACTAGTTAGCTGTGTCTCACAAAACCTGACAAGAAAGAGTCAAGCTCAGAAAAGAACTATCCAGGTG